AGATGGGCTGTTCCCATCAGCGTTTAAGGATGGAGGCTCAGCGTTAGTCTTGGAGTTGACAAAACTCCTGGGCTCAATTTGGGAAAGGGAAGAAGTTCCAGCTAAATGGTATGAGTCGGTCATCATACCGATTTACAAGAAAGGTGATAGATCCTCTTGCGAAAACCATAGAGGAATTAGTTTATTCAACATCGTCTCTAAACTTCTCGTTGGCATCATACTCCGCCGATTGTCTGCCGCAAGTGAACGTGCACCCGTGAGAACCAGGCTAGCTTCAGACCTGGTCGAGGCTGTATCGACCACATCTTCACTCTTCGCCAAACTCTGGAGCACCGACATTCTTTTCGTAGACCCACCATCTCTATTTTCCTGGATCTTAAAGTGGTTTTCGACTTAGTCGACCGCTCTAAACTCTGGCGTTGCCTTTCTCTGAAAGGTGTGCCCGAGAAGTTAGTTTCAATATTACAATCCCTCTATACAAATAGCCGAAGTCGATTCCGAGCTTATGGCACTTTTACGCCCGAGTTCACCACAGAAAGTGGTGTTCGTCAGAGTAGCTCTCTCTCCTTTTCTATTTAACTTTGTTATAGATCTGATTATGGATACAGCTCTATCATCGTGCGAAAATAGTGTCATCGATTTACTCCCAGGTGGCAGGCTGTCTGATCTAGAATGTGCAGACGACATTGTACTACTAAGTGAAGATTCAGGTAAGTTAAAAGCCTTTCTGGATAGCTTGAGTGCTAGTGTAACCAGGTTCGGTATGTATTTTGCACCTTCAAAGTGTAAAATGTTACTTCAAGGCTGGGTTGGTTCTGCACCCAGCCTCATCCTAACTGGGGAAGTAATACAGAAAAGGGATAATTTTTATTACTTGGGTAGCTACATCTCACTCGGTGGAAGCATCACGGACGAAGTGTCAGCTCGCATACGGAAGGCTCGATTGACAGTTGCCAATTTGAGACATCTGTGGCGCCGTCGCGACATCCGGCTGTATGTGAATGGTGCAGTATGAGGGTATGAAAAACTAACCAGGAGTCTCAGTTACAAAGGTCCGTTGGGCTCTCTGGATGGGGACTTCGGGGTGATCGTAAGCGATGGTTAGAGACACTGAACGATATGGCTGAGTGTCGTAAACAATGGTGTTCGTGCATCCTCTCTATTTCATTACAACATTAGTCCACTGAAATTCTCCACTTTCAACTCTTACTGTTCATCCAAATGGGTAGCCAAACGACAGCAACCAAAACCGGCGCACGAAAGTGTGCAAGGTTAATGGTTGTTCAAACTGAAAATTGAAACTGATTAACCATGATCTTTCATGTTGCCTGACGACTGTCCGTTTCAATAAAGGCAAAAAGGAAAAGAGGCATGTTGCGAGCAGAGTCAAAGAAGATCGAGAATCAACATAGACTAAGGTTGCAATGATAATCAATAGATGCACGACCGCCATTGTTTGAGACACTCAAACATGTCCCTCAGTGTCCCTAACCGCCGGTTACGATGGTCAGTCGGAAAATGACAGGTGCCCATGCAAACGACGAGCATGCTAAATCTCACCTTTTCAAAAGCAAGTCGATCAAACTCGCTGATTAGGTTGGCCGGATCAGTTAGATCCCCTCGCAATTGACTAGTCACGTGATGCTTTTCTTTGATCTGGTAAAATTTGGCCAATTTCGCTGGATCCGCGTTGGCCAAGCTAGGAGGAAGTCCAGTACTTGAACGTCCCAGGAATTGGAAACTTTTGGGGTCCGTGGCTGGTGGCGGATGACAGTAAAGCAATGTGCCCTGTGCGAGAATGATTAAGAACAAACATAAAGAAACATCAAGTGCAAAAGAACCATGATCCAACAATAAGTGAAGCACAGGCTTTTTATGTTCTCTAGGCAAAACAGCTGCAAACACCAAGTTGACCAAAGATGAACACCAAAGAACCGGTCCTTATGCATTCGGGCCGGTCATCGACGTAGGAATATCACTCACTTTTTCGGAAAATTAGCCAGTAACTCGAACCAGGTGCTCAGTGGGTTTCACGCGTCCTTTGTTGACTGTTTTTAGAAAGGAAGCTGTGGCCCATTAAAAGGCTGCTAAAGGACATGCAGTGTTTGTGGTGACGTTCCGACATAATCTAAGGGTTGATGTGTTGTTGACCTATAGCGCTTNCAAGCCAGTGGACAGGAATCAATTACCCCTTGATTTACCAGTGATCAAGGGTTTTTAGTCTTTTTAACGAATTAAAAACAAGCAATAAGGAAACCGAACAAAACCATGCTGGTAGTATGCGGTAAACTAGTGAGCAGCGAGATGAAAAGAAAAAATAGAATGGAAAGGGCACAAAACTCACTTGAACATAGTCTTTTAAAATGAGACGCGCAGATCGATCGTAGTTTGGATTTCCCTTTGCCGTCATGAATCCATGCATAACTGAAAAATTCGGATTTAATTGGAATTGAAATACATAGAAAACGCATTAGAATGTGTGTATCATTTGAAAATGATTGTGAGATCACATGAAACTCTACCGTCCTCCCCCGCCTCTATGCTCCAGTTCCACATTCAACCGTCGACCGAAAAAAGCAATCGTTAAAGACAGCCAACATCCAAGCGGTCGGTTCAGGTTTGTGAAAGAGTCGCCTACAGTAACTGTTAGGCTTTGAAAAGCAAAATTAAGTACATGAAAGTGTCACAGTTTAGGACAGAGCGATATCAAATTTGACTCTGATTTACTTGTGAGAAGTGGTGTGGGATAACTGGTTTTTATTGATTTGAGCTGACTGTCCTACGGACTTCACCTTCACGCACAATCCTCAGTTCAACGATTCAACCATACACTCGGAAGCACTAGACTCGAGTTTCGCTCTTATTAGAGCTCATCAGTAGTGCATATCCACCGTCCCGTCCGGGATTTGAACTCCGGATCCATCGCATGGAAGGCGTGTGCGTTACGACTGTACCAACCAGCTCATACCAAATTGCCAATTCATGTTTGTTCAGGTGTCGTCTTCAATGATAGGTCATTTTGGCCCGACAGCAACGAAGGGAGACACAGATGATATACTGTTAACTCCAATCGAAAGCCTCCCAGCCTTGTAGGTTCATTGGCGAATCAGTCTGTACCTGCAAGGAAGTCCTGACTTGGTGGGAGGCTTTCGATTGGAGTTTACAGTATGTCATCTCCCTTTGTTGCTATTGGGCCAAAATGAACTATCACTGAAGAGGACACCTGAACAAACATCACTCGGCATCTCTGGCCAATGAAGCGACCGCTCTCTAACCACAACCTAATATTCCTGTACGCTCGATAGGGTCCTCATATCCTCAAGCCAGGTCTCACACTAACCTTCGCATTTTCCATCCATTACCTGTCTCGGCAAAAATCGCGCATCGGGGAGCCTATTTGGTAAAATGCGTAACACATGCTCCACCCATCTTAGACTATGGAGGTCAAGTACTCGTATCGGTGCGCGCACGCGATTACCTAAAACTGTGTCTAACCTCGGTTTTGCTTGTTGCGTTGCCTCAGCAGATTCGAGAAGCATGTGTGTGCGTGCGTGCGTGCGTGCGAACACCATCATTCTTTTCCAGTAGTGACTAAGTCTGCACTATGTAGCAGCACCGGTTCATCTGTGTGAATCAGCCAATGGGAATCACAGTGGGCCCCGAAACTGATAACCGTAAAAATCCTTCCAGCAATGCTCTATCCTAATTCTTGGTTATCATGGTCATTTTAGTTACAACCATTCGGAGACATACACAGACGTTGCACCTAGCTTCCTAGTGTAACTAATCTCATGGTTGTGACCGTTTCATTGACCGAGCATTCGCACGTGTTCCGCTGCTGATCGTTCAATTTGACTCTCTTTCGAGTGAGGGCGTGCGGACATTACAGTCAAGACTAATTTCTTTCGTTTATCTTCTTTGTCTGCCGCGACGTCCAGATATTGTTTTCCAGTCGTTCTGAGATCACGTTTGAGGTTTGTACAAGCGTCATCTGTTTACCTTATTGTTCAATAAATCAGTAATATGGAATATCGTGGATAAAAAACGTTTTGACCGCCCCCCCCACACACACACACGCACCCTCCCTCTCTGTTTCACGGGATCTGGATTCGGTTACGCGGTATTGATTGACTCATTCGGGAGTTACAAACTACCTTCCGCTATCGAAATTTTCATTAACTGAGCAGTAAGACGACAAGATATAGTAAAACAGTAACTCAGAGGGGAGAGGGTACTTGGAAATAAGCGATCCTCAAATCCAGGTCAACAGTGAATCCGATGCGATCCCAAGTACCCAGAAGGAAAAGCGTTTGTTCCGAAGACATTCGTCCAACAACTCAAGCTTATAAGGAAAATCTGGAGAAGTTCACTGGCACACGTTAAACAAGAGAACTCAAACTGGTTAAGATATCGAGCTTTGATAGGAAAAGTTGTTTATTCAGCCGCCTTTCAAACACCATCATGTAGGCGAATGATTCCGCATGGTAGGTAAATGTATTGGCCTCCAGAATGCATCCTTACGTTCACCAGAAAAAT